TTTATTGTAGGTGTTAGACAACAACCTTTCTCAGAGGTAGGATCTTTTATAATTCTCTCCTAGTCTCTAGGATGCATTTTGTTTGTTTGTTTCCTTCCCCGTAGAAGTTCCAAAGTGTCACTAGTGTCATTATTTATATTTGCATATGTTAGCAGTAATTTTTGCATCCAAACCTCTACCACTACAACACACACACACACACACACACACACACACACACAGCCAAGCCATTGCATTGTCTGTGGGTGTAGTTCCCCCAATTTTTCCTTTAGTGTTATGATTATTTTTTTACCGTTTGCAGCCTGTGTGTGTAGATACAGGTTTCCTAAAATATACACCCAACCTATGTTTTCTTATAGGACCTTTGCAGTTTCAAGATTGAGTTTAGGTCTTTAATTCATTTTGTGTTGATTTTGTGTATCATGTAATGTAAAGGTCCTATTTCAGTGTTTTGCACATGGATATTCAGTTTTCTCAAAATCATTGATTGAACCAGACTCTCCCTTTCCCATGGTGTCTTTTTGGTGTTGTTTTGAAAAACACGTTCCCTACATACCATGTTGCGTTGAGTATTTGGCTGCCCCATTCTGTCCATTGGGTCCTCATTCTGTGTTTGTGATAGTCATGGATTGTTTGGATAACTATAGATTGTGTTTTTTCATTTATTATTTTATTTGCTTCTAATCTTGAGTTTTTCTTTTAATGCTCTTTACTCTTACTATTATAGATTAAAGGGTACACATGCAGGTTAGTTACATCTGTTGATTGCGTGACGCTGAGGCCTGGGGTACCAACAACCTCATGACACAGGCAGTGAGCACAGGACCCACAGGATGGGTCTTCAGGACACGCTCCCACTCCCTTTTTTTTTTCTTTTTTCTTTTTTTTTTTTGTGGTCTGGTAGTCATTCCCAGTGTCTGTTGTTCCCTTCTTTATGTTCGGGTGTAGTCATAGTTCAGCTCCCACTTATTAGTGAGAACGTGCAGCATTTGATTTTCTTTTGAGATGGAGTTTCGCTCTTGTTACCCAGGCTGGAGTGCAATGGCGCGATCTCGGCTCACCGCAACCTCCGCCTCCTGGGTTCAGGCAATTCTCCTGCCTCAGCCTCCTGAGTAGCTGGGATTACAGGCACGAGCCACCATGCCCAGCTAATTTTTTGTATTTTTAGTAGAGACGGGGTTTCACCATGTTGACCAGAATGGTCTCGATCTCTCGACCTCGTGATCCACCCGCCTCGGCCTCCCAAAGTGCTGGGATTACAGGCTTGAGCCACCGTGCCCGGCAGCATTTGATTTTCTGTTCAGGCCTTAGTTCATTTAGCTCCATCCATGTTGCTGCCAAGGAAGTGACTTTCTTTTATAACTGTAGTATTCCGTGGTATATAAGCAACATATTTATCTCATCCACTTTATTTATTTATTTATTTATTTTTAATTTTTTGGGACAGCCTCCCACTCTGTCATACAGGCTGGAGTGCAGTGGCATAGTCACAACTCACTGCAACCTTAACCTCCCAGGCTCAGGTGATCCTCCCACCTCAGCCTCCTGATGAGGTAGAACTACAGGTACCTGCGACTGCATCTGGCTAATTTTAGTATTTTTTGTAGAGATGGGGTTTTACCATGTTGCCCAGGCTGGTCTTGAACTCCTAGACTCAAGGGATCCACCTGCCTTGGCCTCCCAAAGTGCTAGGATTACAGGCATGAGCCACTGCACCCCACCCCAAGGGGTATCACTTCTGTAGCACACTATTAACAGGAGGAGTCACAGACCTGGCTCAGATTCAGGAGGAAGGGAAACAGACCCTCCCTCTCAGTGATATCTCAATGGAACCAGTAGCAAAAAGTCTTCAGCCATTTTGAATTTACCACATGTACTGTTTTCCAGGGCAGAGTATACACCTTAAATCAATGGTAGTTATGTAACGCCACTGTGTCTTCACCTGGTGTAAGGGATGGAAAATAGAGATGGCACCACCTTTTTCATGGCTCTCTCTGACTCACTTGAAATTTATGCTCTGGCCCCTGCAATTTCCAGCCCTACATGTTAAGAGGTCCTGGCTTCCTTAAGGAAATTACTTCGTCAGTGGACATAAGAGTCTCATTGAAATTGCAGCTACGGCTGCTACTTGATCACTTTTAGCTCTGGTGCCAAGAAATTATCCAGAAAAGAAAAAAGTCACAACAGTCACAACCTGCAAGGAAAATTGACTCTGATTATCAGTGGGAGGTCAGCCTGCTCCCACACAAAATAGCAGAGGAAGAATTTCTTCGGTGCTCAGGGATCCCAGTGCTTCTCTCAACTGGAACAAACTCCATATAAAAAGCAAGTTGATCTGTGCAGTGGAAGGGATTAACTTTAGCGAATACTATAGTGCTTTGCCAAGATCCTTTCTTAGAATGATTTACCCAGCCAGCCACAGTGGCTCACGCATGTAATCCCAACACTTTAGGAGGCTGAGGTGGGTGGATTGCCTGAGATCAGGAGTTCGAGACCAGCCTGGGCAACACAGTGAAACCCTGTCTCTACTAAAACACAAAAAAATAGCCAGATATGGCAGCATGCACCTGTAGTCCCAGCTACTTGGTAGGCTGAGGCAGGAGAATTGCAAGAACCCGGGAGGTGGAGGTTGCAGTGAGCTGAGACTGTGCCACTGCACTCCAGCCTGGGCAACAGAGCAAGACTCCATCTCAAAAAAAAACAAACAGAGAAGTGATTTACCCATAGCTTGGCTGCTTGTGGATCCCAGGTGTACCCCATTCCAGCATCATTGTTCATCATGTTGGTGAAGGAAGAATCTCCCACCCTAAATAGCACAAGGTAGCTGACTACATGACACCTTGCACTGGACAGATGTCATCAACAGCAGTTTACAAGTTACACGTACTCACGGCCTGTGCAAGAGGACAGCACACACCAGGCAGGGCCACATGAGGGGTGCACTCAGAAATAGAGTAAAGCGGAGGGACACAGAGGCAGGCTTTATAGGAACAAGGGGGCGTGGTGGCCTCTGGTGCCTGTGGGAGGATGTGGTTGGCTTGTTTGCATTATGGGCTGGCAGGGGCTACAGGCACAAGAGGTTGAGGATTGATGGGGGACACTGGTTCAGCCGACAGGGGAACAAGCCAGGCAGGGAGCAGGATAACTCACGGGGCCCCTTTGGGGCCTAGAAGCCTGAAGCACAGTTGAAAATAGTTCTTCTTCACATTTGAGTCTGCATATGCGGATGTTTTCACATCCACTCTAATTAAAGGAAGATGTGCCATTCCAATAAATGCACTCCACAGGTCAGTTCTGGGGAGGAGACCCCTAAAAAATGCAATGAGCACTGTATTGTCTCTTCAGGGAACTATAGTCAAAAAGCCACAAAATCAAAAGGAATCTTTCTACCATGTCACTTTATAACCAGGAAGGAGATTTGGGGTCATGGCCATTTAGAAGGAAGATGAAGCCCAGGCGCAGTGGCTCAAGCCTGTAATCCCAGCACTTTGGGAGGCCGAGGCGGGTGGATCACGAGGTCGAGAGATCGAGACCATCCTGGTCAACATAGTGAAACCCCGTCTCTACTAAAAATACAAAAAACTAGCCGGGCGTGGTGGCGCGTGCCTGTAATCCCAGCTACTTAGGAGGCTGAGGCAGGAGAATTGCCTGAGCCCAGGAGGCGGAGGTTGCGGTGAGCCGAGATTGCACCATTGCACTCCAGCCTGGGTAACGAGAGTGAAACTCCGTCTCAAAAAAAAAAAAAAAAAAGAAGGAAGATGAAGATACGTGCAGTAAAAATAGTATAAAATAATTCACTAAAATCCCCTTTTACACATTCATTTATTAAGTTCAAAGTTACGTTATGGATTGGGGTTGGTGAGTTTTGTTTTTTGTTTTTTAATCAAGAGCTAGATAGTAAGTATTTTAGGCTTTGTGGGCCATATGGTCTCTGATGACTCAGTTTTGCTGCTGCTGTGCAAAAGCAGCCATGGACAATAATAAATGGGCATGGTTGTGCTTTAACGAGACTTTGGCTACGAGAGCTGGTGGCAGGCTGCACTGCGCCCACTGGTGTAGTTTATCAACCCATTATGAAAGTTTCTGTTCTCAAAAAACATTTCATAAGTTTGTATGTTACCTTACTTTTTTTTTTTTTTTTTTTTTTTTTGAGACGGAGTTTCGCTCTTGTTACCCAGGCTGGAGTGCAATGGCGCAATCTCGGCTCTCCGCAACCTCCGCCTCCTGGGTTCAGGCAATTCTCCTGCCTCAGCCTCCTGAGTAGCTGGGATTACAGGCACGCGCCACCATGCCCAGCTAATTTTTTGTATTTTTAGTAGAGACGGGGTTTCACCATGTTGACCAGGATGGTCTCGATCTCTCGACCTCGTGATCCACCCGCCTCGGCCTCCCAAAGTGCTGGGATTACAAGCTTGAGCCACCGCGCCCGGCCCGTTACCTTACTTTTTTAACCTTCCTTTGAAATGATCAGGTTGTGAGGTACCTGGACAATATTCTCTCATTTTATAGACGAGAAAACTGAGGTGCAGTACCTCTCCTGGGAACACTGGGATGAGTAGCAAGCCAAGTCTAGAAAACAGACTTCCCGACTCCTCCCACACCCTGCCTGTCGCTCAACCCAGCTGATACACTAGACTCCACCCATCAACACCAACTTTCTATCAGAATAGTCAGTTTTAAATTTCAGGGGGAAAAAAAAAAACACACAGAAAAGAAAATTAGATAACTACTTTGCAGCGAGCTGGATTTTATTCATTGTTACATTGACCTTTTCTGTGTATGTACCTGTGTCTGTGAATTCTGTCCAGTGGAAAGGACCTACATTAAGGCTTGACCTGGTGTTTTGGTAATTGAACTAAAGGGATTTGCTTTGGACTGGGAGATCAGATTCTCCACTAAATATGATGAAGAATTCAGGGGTAACTTTTTCTCTTCCTGAAATTTTAAAAAACCATTTCCTCCCTCAATTCTTTCTTCTGTTTTCACGTTTCATTCACCAGGAGAAAGGCTGTGGCCCTGGTGTTCGAGGAGCCCCTTGTCTGAAGCAGCTGCTGCTCATGAACAGACATGCTCTGCACAGCAGCCCTCATTCCTAGAGGGAAGCCTTGTCATTGCTGTGAAGGAAAACGTTTAATGCTGAAACCAGGGGCCACTTAGGCTTTTCCAGACTTGGCCTTTCTGAGATACTGTAATTAAATGGAAGAGGTAATCATTCTGGGATTAAACTAGGAAATCGCATCTTCCTATTGTATCTGACTTAATTGGGTCCTGCAGTTATTAATCCACATGAATATGGTCTTTTTGCTAAAGCACACTTTCCCTGGATGCTGAACGTGGAGCCTTACAGTTTTGGGAATGGCTTGGCAGAATTCCTCTTTGGAAATTGGTGAAGATGGGCAAAGTATAAATCCATGAAGGGGGAGGGTCCCCGCAAAAAAAAGATGCCCTCACAGAAAACTGTGCACTGAGTGTCATTACAATGGGCAGCACACACAGGCCCCTGCTCTTCCTTCAGAGGGACAGGTTGGGAATATCCCTGGAGATGGTACGCCCTCATCCACACAGCCAGCAGCCTCTCCCCTGTTCTTTCTGCCTCCCTTATCATCCACACTCACCTTTATGGTACAGGACACATTGGCTTTGTTTGACCTTATTTGATACTGAATTTTTAAAGCTTGATGTTATAGGTTTTACCCCTTCAAACTAAAAAGTTTCTTTTAAACACTGAAATCATTGTTGCCACATTTTTCTAGGTGTTTAAAATGGTAGCTGCTTTATTTGTAGACAGAGCATAGAGATAAATGCTGGGGATAAGGATGCTTGTTTTTAACCTTATCATGTTTGTCTGATCTCTGGGTTCTAGGGGGTGTGGAAAAGGAAAGTTCTACAAATGGAATGACACAGTTACAGAAGACTTAGACCTAAATGACGAGCCCTGGAGTGTGAATGCTTTGGCGAAGAAAATAGAGCAAAAGTTTATCATCAAGGTAAGGATTTACAAATGGATGTTTTCCGTTAGTTTTGGTTTTTAATTTAGTTTTCTATAAAATTGAAAGTAGGATTCTTTGTGTTGAAAATGGAATGGACTATTTTTTCTAGTACTGCTGCTCTAGCTGTAGAACCATGAGTAGTTGGGGGATGAAATCAATATCAAAGAGAAACTAAAAAAGAAAGAAATCTACCCTTAAAAGTAGTTTCAGAAGAAATAGTTGTCCACTAAAATTTTCAGATTTCTTTTTAACTTACACAGGAACATAATTAATTAGAGAACCTCTTTTTGGCACCTGCATTTTACCACTGTGTTGATTCATCAGTGTGGCAAAGCAGTCTTTACCTCCAAACCCCCCACTCCCAGGACAAAAAATGTATGATGGAAAATACATCAAAAAACCCAACCACAATTCGCTATTTGAAAACGGTTTTGCAGAGATCTTAGCATTTCTGAAGCCTAATTTTGAGATATTCTAGTGGCGTTTCCAAATCTCCGCCTGTATTAGATTCAAGTTCTGTATCATGCCTCTGTAGCCAGGCATTAAATGGTGGTAGATTTGAAGGATTACACAGAGTATCATTGCCAGAAGTTACCTAGTTTTGGCCGGTCTGCTGAAGTGGCCAAACGAAGCCAGGGATGATCCCACCCTGTGCCACAGAACATAGTGTTTTAAATGTTAATTGCCATTTGCTGAAATTAGCCTTCCATAGGATATTTACCCTCTCTATTACCTATTCCCTTACTCTATTACCAAACAACTGTCTTATTTCCTACCCTTCCTCCCCAGCATCACCCTCCAAATGAGGGATCAATTTTAGTGCCAGAACTGAGGTCCCCTGACTTCCACTCTAAGCAGTACCCTAAAAAGACCCTCATGTTACCTACACTTTGCACTTAACACATTTAGTGAGTAACTTGTGGGATTCGTGGGCCCTTTGTTTTAGATTGTCATGACAAGAAAACCTTTTTTATTTAGGCTTCTTAATGCCATGCGGTAAAGCAAACACACACACTTGTGTACGCCAAAGTTACCGAATGCCCGTGTGCTCTTCCACTGGAGTGGGTCTGATGAGAACTCCCTGGGATCACCAAAGAAGACTATGTCCAGCAGGAAGCTGAGGGGGTCTCTGTAAGTTTTTCCATTGTGAACCCAAAATATCTGAGACAACTCTCGATAAATTTGGCAAGTTTATGTTCCCAAGGTTATGGATGTGACACACCCTCAGGAGGTTTTTGAGAACATGTGTCTAAGGTGGTTGGGGTACAAACTGCTATTGTTTTTCCTTTTACAGCTTACTTTTACACATTTTAGAGAGATGTGAGCCATCAATCAATATGTGTAAGACATGCATTGATTTTGTCCAGAAAGGTGGAACAACGTGAAGCACGGGAGAGGGCTTCCAGGTCATAAGTAGATAAGACAAATGGTTGCATTTTTCTGAGTCTCTGATTAGCCTTTTCCTTCGTACTTTAAGCTCTGGGATACATGTGCACATCCTGCAAGGTTGTTGCGTAGGTACACACATGCCATGGCGGTTTGCAGTCTCCATCCCCCCATCGCCTACCTGAGGCATTTCTCCCAGTGTTTTCCCTCCCCAGCCTTCCTGCCTCCCGCTGTCCCTCCTCTAACCTCCAACCCCCAACCCACCCCATTGTGTGATGCTCCCTTCCCTATGTCCATGTGTTCTCATATGTTCAACACCCATCTATGAGTGAGAACATGCGGTGTTTGATTTTCTGTTCTTGGACAAGTTTGCTGAGAATGATGGTTTCCGATTCATCCATGTCCCTACAAAGGAAACAGATTCATCATTTTTTTTTTTTTTGAGGCGGAGTTTTGCTCTTGTTACCCAGGCTGGAGTGCAATGGCGCGATCTCGGCTCACCGCAACCTCCACCTCCTGGGTTCAGGCAATTCTCCTGCCTCAGCCTCCTGAGTAGCTGGGATTACAGGCACGTGCCACCATGCCCAGCTAATTTTTTGTATTTTTAGTAGAGACGGGGTTTCACCATGTTGACCAGGATGGTCTCAATCTCTCGACCTCGTGATCCACCCGCCTCGGCCTCCCAAAGTGCTGGGATTACAGGCTTGAGCCACCGCGCCCGGTCAGATTCATCATTTTTTATTGCTGTGTAGTATTCCATGGTGTATATGTGCCACGTTTTCTTTGTCTAGTGTATCATTGATGGGCATTTGGGTTGGTTCCAGGTCTTTGCTATTGTAAACAGCAACAGAATGAACATAGGTGTGCATGTGTCTTTATCATAGAATGATTTATCATCCTTTAACATCAAAAAGCTTATCTCTCATGATCAAGTAGGCTTCATCCCAGGGATGCAAGGCTGGTTCAACATAGCCTTTTTTTAAATACACAATTTACATGTGAGAGGAGAGGAGAGGAAGCTTCACTTATGCCCTAGTCTGGCAACAGGGCTGAAGCAGCAATGAGATGTGCGTTTGTCTCAGGTGAACAGAGAGATGACACTGTGTTCTGTCCATTGTGTGGCTAATGGTGAGGGGGTATGGAGCTTCCTTATCTTTGTAGTTTTCTTATTGAGGAATAAACTGGGAGCAGGTTTGCGGATGCCGTTCCCAGCTTGACTTCCCTTTGGGTTAGTGATTTGGAGTCCTGAGATTTATTTCCTTTCACACCTTATAACCTGCTATGTGATTTATAGGTGACAGTGTGATCTTTGAGAACTTAGTATTTGGGATTTGAGGATAATTAACTAAGCTAGGGGGAAATTCTTAAAATAATCCTAAAAAGGAAATAAATCTCTTTTCTTTCTGATTTCTTCCTAGTCACTATTTCCTTGACAACAACTTACTCTGTGTTTAAGAAACATGCACCTAAGTTATTTCCTTCTAGAATTGAGATTTCTTTTTTTTAATTTACACTTGAGAGTCTTTGAAAAATGTTGGCAGCATTTACTGAATTACACATCATATCTGAAACATAGTACTATCTCAACATTCTAAGAATGCTGTTGCTTTTTACAGGTCCGTTGTCAGTGAATTGGCCTTTAATACATTAAATCAGGAAAGGATAGAATTTATTTTTCATGTGAAAATGTGATTAAATAGTTTATGAATTTTGAAAACCTGGCTCAGTACTTTATTGTTATAAGACTTTGAGTGTGTGGCTCTAATATGAGTTTATTTCACTGTTCTTTAAGGCTGTAATAGTGGAAACGATACGTCACAGTAACATGTAGGAAGAATTCATTTCCCTGCTTACTAAACCATGATACTCAGTTTTAAATCCCATATGCCAACTAAGTAAAAACTTGCATTAAAATTTGTCCTGCAGTTTTTAATTTTTTATGTCACTCAGTTCTCCAAACTAATTGAAAGACTTTTTTTTAATTATGTAATTAAAACATAATTGTATATACTTAATGAGGCACAGTTTGATGTTTTGATACACATGCACATTGTATAATGATCAAGTTAAGTCTAATGCCCTGTTCATTTGAGTTGGCAAGTTTTAAAACTACAAAAACAATAGCCACTTTCTACTAGACAAAGTTTCCCAATCATCTTAGGTCAGTTCCGTCTTCACCAGCAGTTTCGTGTCAGTCATCTCCTTGTTGCATTGGCCTAATAATGCCCAGCTGTCTATTAGAACCAAGCTGATTTAAAAAGGCAAGAAGGAAAGGCTTTTGGAGAAAATGCCTGTTTGAATATACCAGGTAAGAACCCTGTGAAAAATCCTAAAAGGGAGAATCAGGTCAATGTCAGAGTAGAGTGTAGCTGGTAGGTCCAGAAGCGCTCCTGATGGCCTTCTTCTGGATTAGTTAGGCCTCTGGGGCCACAACTTTTCACCCACCTTGCTTGTGAATCTTGAGACGGAGTTTCGCTCTTGTTACCCAGGCTGGAGTGCAATGGCGCAATCTCGGCTCACCGCAACCTCCACCTCCTGGGTTCAGGCAATTCTCCTGCCTCAGCCTCCTGGGTAGCTGGGATTATAGGCACGGCACGTGCCACCATGCCCAGCTAATTTTTTGTATTTTTAGTAGAGACGGGGTTTCACCATGTTGACCAGGTTGGTCTCGATCTCTCGACCTCGTGATCCACCCGCCTCGGCCTCCCAAAGTGCTGGGATTACAGGCTTGAGCCACCGCGCCCGGCCTTGTGAATCTTTTATGCCAGGCCACAGTGGTGACTGTAGAGCTAGTGCCATGGAGTGCTAAGGACACAGATGTGAGAACACACTCGATTGGCCAGCACCATCACTGAGCTGCTCTGTGATGTGAATGATGTCAGAAAAGAGAGGTGTGGGGAGCGGGGTAAGGAAACACACTGCTGAAATTAACTTATTTTATCTGGAGAGAGGAACAAGTGAAGGCTCATAAGGATTGGGTAATGACTAATAGGGTGGTGATGGCCATTATTTATTGTATACCTACTCTGAGCACCATGCTTTAAATAAATCTTCAATTCTTAAAAAACCCTCAGGAGGTGATGGGTTGTACCTATATTTCCATTTTTCAGATAAAAAACAAGTCCAGAAAAGGAAAAGTGAACATCTAGTGTCACAGAGCAGGGATTTAAAATCAGAAGTGTCTACCATGTCTGGGTGTTTTACACTGATCAAAAGTGAGAAGCAAAGAATTTATATATATCTATAAGGGTGGGTGCAGTGACTCACGCCTGTAATGCCAGCACTTTAGGAGTCCGAGGCTGAGGTGAGAGGATTTCTAGAGGCCAGGAGGTGGAGATCAACCTGGGCAACATACTGAGATCCTTCCATACAGAAAAAAAGCCAGTTGTGGTGCCGTCCACCTATACTGCTAGCTACTTCACAGGCTGAGGCAGGCAGGAGTTCAAGGCTGCAGTGAGCTGTGATTGCACCACAGAGTCAGACCTCTCTCAAAAATTATATAGGCTAGGCACGGTGGCTCACACCTTGTAATCCCAGCCCTTTGGGAGGCCAAGCTGGGCGTATCATAAGGTTAAGAGATTGAGACCATCGTGGCCAACATGGTACAATCCCATCTCTACTAGAAATACAAAAATTAGACGGGCATGGTGGTGCACGCCTGTAGTCCAAGCTACTCGGGAGGCCGAGGCAGGAGAATTACTTGAACTTGCAAGGGGGAGGTTGCAGTGAGCCAAGATCGCACCACTGCACTCGAGCCTGCCTATAGAGCAGGCGTCCCCAAACTATGGCATGCGCCCCCCTGAGGCCATTTATCCGGCCCCCCGCCACCCTTCAGGAAGGGGCACCTCTTTCATTGGTGGTCAGTGAGAGGAGCACAGTATGTGGCGGCCCTCCAATGGTCTGAGGGACAGTGATCTGGCCCCCTGTGTAAAAAGTTTGGGGACACCTGCTATAGAGGGAGACTCCATCTCAAGTAATAATAATTATTTGTATAAATAAGTAGAGATGTAGATAAAGAGGTGAAGGGGAGTACAGGGTGAATCTAGGCAGGAACCAGAGCCAGAACTAAAGGAGCCACGTGTGCTGATTGATTTAAGCTCAGGAGCTGTGAGGGCCACTGAAAGACCTTGTGTGGAGACTGATGTGATCTAACTGGCCTCCTAGCCTAGCCCTAGCGAGCGGGAGTGGAGGGGATGGCTGGGAGGGAAAGAGAGTAGTTGGGAAGCCCATCAGCCCAATCCAGGCAGGAGAGAGCAGGGCCCTCCCGAGGCTTCAGAGTGAGGATGGAGAGAGGCAGACTGGGGTGCTGCTTAGAGGGTGAGCCGGTGTGAGTAGAGATGCAGGCATGCGCAGTGGAGTCTTTCGCCAAGGTGGGAACAGGTGGATCAGGTGAGACTCATGTGCGGGAACCCACAGGACTCGTGTCTCCCTGTGTGTGTGGAGTGAGGGAGAGACCTTGGGGATGAGTCCTGCGCTTCTAACAGGGAGAGCACCTGACTGGCGCCTTTGGATGAGACACAGGACCTTCTAGTTCTAGAGTAGCAGAGTGTGAGGGAGAAGATGCAGGGTGAGCCTGGATTTCCACCCAGTAAGTGAGGGACCTGTGGGTTGTCCAGGGAGGGCAGCTGGGAGGTGGTTTTGTGTGTGGGTCTAAAGCTGCATCTAAGGGGCAATATCCTAGGAGGAGCTGATGTGACAGGCCCAGATGCGACTGCCCACCAAGTGTGCACACTGATGAGAGTGGA